AGGCCTCTGGGAGGGAGAAAACGGCCTCCCCCAGGCTCCAGAGGCCCCCCGGAAGTCGGAAACAGGCCTGAATTATAGGCCCGTTTCGTCACTTCCTGTAATACCGGCCTATAACTCAGTCTGAGAAGCCTTGCAGAGACTTTTTCCAAGCCACTGGGAGGCCGAAAAAGGCCTCAAACCAGCTGAAAAATCAGCTGTGAGGTACAGTGCAGGTAAGGGGGCGGGGGATTGCGAGCGTATGCGCAGAGGGCATGGAGAGGGGGGCGCGCATTGCATTTTGGGTGCTGGCACGCACAATTTTTGGCACAGGAGCCCAAAAAGGTTAGCCACCACTTGGTATAGGGCAGTGTTGGCGAAACTTTTTGGCACCAAGTACTGAAAGGGAAGCACTGGAAACCGGAAGAGCAGCTCCCTGGCCTGCACGCACACGCCAGGAAGCTGAGCTTCCAGTTTCCAGCATGCACATGCGCGGTGGCCACCTGTTCTTCTGGTTTCGGGCACATATAGCAATAGCACTGAGACTTATATACCGCTTTATAGTGCTTTATAGCCCTCTCAAAGCGGTTGACAGAGTCAGCCTATTGCCCCCAGCAATTTGGGTCCTCATTTTACCCACCTCGGAAGGGTGGAAGGCTGAGTCCACCTGGAGCCTGGTGGGATTTGAACTGCCAAATTGTAGGCAGCCGGCTGCAGAAGTAGCTTGCAGTGCTGCACAATAATCACAGAGGCTCCTTTGGATATATATACACACACACGAAGACCAGAAGAGCGACAGGCGATGGCTGACTTGCCCAGAAAAACGGCTCTGCGTGCCACTTCAGGCACGTGTGCCATAGATTTGCCATCACGTGTATAGGGTCTCCTGTTTGAGCAGAGGGCTGGTCTAGAAGACCTCCGGGGTCCCTCCTAGCTCTGTTCTGATTGATTGAACTGCAGTGTTTCACTTGACCATAGTGGCAGGAAAGGTGCAAAAACATGTGGCAAAACTCACTTAACAAATGTCTCAGTGAACAACAGAAATTTGGGGCTCGGTTCAGAGGTGGCCTTCAGCAGGTTCTGACCAGTTCTGGCGAACCGGTAGCGGAAATTTTGAGTAGTTCGGAGAACCGGCCAATCCCACCTCTGACTGGCCCCGCCCCCACCTATTCTCTGCCTCCTATCAAGTCCGAGCTGATCGGCGGGGTCTCCTTCGGTTGCCCTGCACAGGAGAACGGAGCCGGAAAGCAGGTTAGTGGGGTGGGGAGGGAATGGGGAATTTGCAGTCACCTGCCACGCCTACCAAGTCACGCCCACAGAGCCCGGTAGTAAAAAAAAATTTGAATCCCACCACTGGCTCAATTGTAGTCATAAGTCGAGGAACTACTCTGTGTTTGTTGTCCTATAAGTCTGTTGCTGTCCAGATATACAGGATCTGAGTCCCATTTTTGTTAATCCCGTGCTGTTATATTCAGTATTAGAAGTCAAAGTCCATCACATCAGCCAGACGTGCCTGGATGGGTGTCATTCAAATTCTAGACGCCTCTGGCTGTGGCTGCCTGATAAACTGCATGTTTCAAGGCGTGGTCCGGCGAGAAAGAGCAGGTCCACACACGAAGGTTCAATTAAGCTGATTGATCGCTAAAATGCTCTACGCAGAAATCTCCTCATCTGAAGGTTGAGAAGCAAATTCAGCGGAGAAGCCAAATTCACTCAATAACCTTGTTACTGACTTAACAACTGCAGGGATTGACGTAACAGTGTGGCAGGAAAAGGCCCTAAAAAAGGCAAAAGAATAGACTAGAATTCTTCATTGGCCAAGTGTGATTGGACACACAAGGAAATTGTCTTTGGTGCAAATGCTCTCATACATAGAAAAAAGTTACATTCATTAAGAATCAAGAATCATAACGTACAACGCTTAATGATAGTCATAGGGTACAATAAGCAATCAAATCATACCAGGAAACAGTCAATATAAATCGTAAGGATACAAGGGACAAAGTTACAGTCATACAGTCACAAGTGGGAGGGGAGGGGCGATCAGGAGTGATGAGAAGATTAATAGTAATGGTAATGCAGACTTAGTAAATACAGGTGAAACTCGAAAAATTAGAATATCATGCAAAAGTTCATTTATTTCAGTAATGCAACTTAGAAGGTGAACCTAATATATGAGATGGACTCATTACATGAAAAGCAAGATATTGCAAGCTGTGATTAGTCATGTGATTAGTCATGTAAACCATAATCATCTCAATTATGACAAATCATGGCTTGAATTATCTTGCTTCGCATGTAATGAGTCTATCTTATATATTAGTTTCACCTTTTAAGTTGCATTACTGAAATAAATGAACGTTTGCACGACATTCTAATTTTTCCAGTTTCACCTGTAGTTGGACAGTGTTGAGGGAATTATTTGTTTAGCAGAGTGATGGTGTTGGGGGAAAAAACTCCCCTTGTGTCTAGTTGTTCTGGTGTGCAGGGCTTTATAGCATTGTTTTGAGGGAAGGAGTTGAAACAGTTTCTGTCCAGGATGTGAGGGGTCTGTAGATATTTTCACAGCCCTCTTTTTGACAGGTCCTCAATTGAAGGCAGGTGGGTAGTAATCGTTTTTTCTGCAGTCCTAATCCACTCTCTGGAGTCTGTGTCTATCCTGTTGGGTTGCAGAACCAAACCAGACAGTTATAGAGGTGCAAAAGGAGTAGAAATTAGAGGATGAAAGATTACTAATATGTATAAGTAAATTATGTAAGAATTTTATTATTCATAAGCAAACATTACTGTCATAGGATTACTATTGTCACTACTAGTATTTTATTAATGTATAAATAAATCGATCCAGACAATACACAGTCTAATAAGCATTTGTGTATTTTGAAGAAGAAGAAAAAAGGCATAAATAAAATTAAAAAAGAAAAAAGAAAGAAAGGTCCCAAAATGGAGCAAAACTGACTTTACCACTGTCTTGCTTAGCAACATAAATTTTGGGATCAGTTATGTTCAGAAATCAAGAACTATCGTATCAAGGAGAATCCAGTCAGAGTGCAATTTTTTGAAATTGGCTGTTGCGTATAAGGACAACCTTTACAAAATGTTTTATCGTTGGCATCTAGCACCAGCAAGATTGGCAGAAGTTTACCCAAATATGAATCCTGAATGCTGGAAGTGCAAAAAAATAAACAAGGCACTTTCTTTCACATATGCTGGTCCTGCCCCAAAGCAAAAGAATACTGGAATAAAATTAGAACGTGGTTGCAAGAAATTACTGGATTTCAATTAGAACTTAAGCCTGAAACGTTTTTGTTAGGGATAATTAGAGGAACATTTAAGAAAGAAATTGAATACCTCATAATACATATTCTAACAGCAGCAAGAATAACCTATGCCCAAGATTGGAAACTAGATAGTACCCCCACAGACAGTACGATTAATAAAGAAAATGATGGATTGTGCAGAAATGACAAAACTCACGTTGGAATTACAAGAGAGGGAAGAGAAGGAATGTTATACAGTCTGGAAAAAAACAGTATAATTTGTTGGATGATTGGACAGCAAGAATAAAACAATAATATAAACAAATGTATATATAAATATATGTAGGTAGATAGTTAACAAAAACTGGGAAAGTAGATGTCACAACACTGTAAAAATGGTACGTGTGTTGTTTTGTTTTGTATTTGTTGTCAGCTAAAAAGATACTCCTCTGGTCTTTTTAGCTGCCAGAAAAAGGAAGTGGGGGAAAACAAGGCATTCTTGAAATGCCTAGATATCAACTCAGCAGCCCAAAGTTGTTGGAGCGTAAGAAGGTTATTGGAGAGCATGATGGATGACTCTTGGAGACAGATGTGTCCTATTGGAGAAGTCACATCCAGGGGTTGGGGGAAAGACCAGGGTCAAGGGGGAAATGGATGATGTGATTTAGTACCGGCTGCACCCAGCCACGCGCCAACATGGCAATTTCTAATAAACCAATTTACTTTTTCTGAGATGCGGCTAGAGACTTTTGCTTTGAATGAGGGGGGATCTGTTGGAGCCCTGACATTTGTGTTGTTTTTAATTGTGTAAAATTTAATAAAAAAATATTTTTTTAAAAAAAAAGAAAAGAAATAACTTTGCCCTACCTCCTCCCCTTTCTGCCAGCCAAAGGGACGCTCAGCGAGGATACCATCCGGGTCTTCCTGCAGCAGATCGCGTCTGCCATGCGCGTTCTCCACGGCAAAGGCATCATCCACAGGGACCTGAAGCCGCAGAACATCCTGCTGTCGTACGCCAGTCGCAGGAAGTCGAACGTCAGCGGCATCCGCGTCAAGATAGGCAAGTCAGTGCCGATTGCCCCGCCACGGACTTCCCTGCGTGAGGGAGCCCCTCCTCAAAAGTTACTTTGAAAAGCCACAGTGGGCTTGTCAGACCTGGTGTCGGGGTTCCAAATAATAGACCCATATCAAGCAAACCTACAAGGCCGGTAGATTCCTCAAAGAAAAAGCTTTATTGGATCTATCATGTTGACCCAGATCTGGTGAAAACCAACTGTGAAGGTTCCCGTTGTTTTCATCTAATTCAAAATGAAAGTTTTTTTTCCCCTTTTCCCAAACCATCAGTCACATGGCCCAATCCAGATGCTGTCTGGTTGCCAGGTATCGTCACTCCTCCTCTCTCTGACCAGGTGTAAGAATATCCTTGGTTCCCAAGAGAAAGTATTTTGTTTTGACTACAATATAACCCCAGCTATCCCTTGTCCTGCCCCTGGTGGAGTCTGACTCTGAGGAAGAGGAGGAACAGCCAACAGGGAGTGGGAGTGTGGCTCCAGGGGTGGTGGACGAGGCTGGGGAAGGGCTGAAGCTAGCTGGGCAGTCAGAGGAGGATCCAGGCCCATCCCTTCTCCATCCTAGGTCACGCAGGGAGGAGAGGATCAGGGAAAAGCGAGGTCTACTCAAGGGGGGAGATTACCATGGTCCTCCTCGTGGCTTGGAGGTGGGAGCTATGAATATAAGTTTGCAACTGCGCAGTTAGAATTTGCAGGAGTCAATTTAGTGTTCACCTTGAAAGAGGTTTATCTTTGCTGGCGTTCTTCCCATGGATTTTTCTCGGTTATTTTCCTGGAGTTTATAATTAGTTATCTCGGCTTGCTTTCAGAACTCTCCTCAATGCGGTTTGTTTTGGTTTTCCGTTTGCCTCATTATTTACTTTGGTGACTTTAAACTGTGCCTAATAAAACATTGAAGTTAAGTTGAAGGCTTTACCGGACTTTAATATATGTTTTGGGTTTTGGGGTTATTTTGAGAGACTACGGGTCATCACCTCTCTCTTCCCCTACCCTTATCTCTCAGCTCCAGTGTGGCAATACTGAAGCGACAAAATGGCTCCGATCAGGTCAGCTTTAGAGTTGACACCTGCCAGCACTTAAACCTGAAATGATCCTTGGCTCCATTTGTTGAGGAAGGTATAATTTAATTAGAAGTCAGGTGTATCGCAGTAATGCATAGCCAGAACTGGATCACTGCATGCCAAAATCCCTAAATTCAACTTTTCCCTTCCATAACTGCCTCCCATTTCTGACCCATCGGGTTCAAGCTAGTTGTTTTCGGGACGGTCACTTCAAGCTACCCGCTTTCTTCTCCCAGGCGTGCGACCTTGAAGCAGTGTCTCAGGGAGATAAGGCAGTTACTTTCGCTTTCCCCCAAGTATTTTCACCCTCCCCTTCCACATCTATTTGCACTACTCAGGTGACCCTGAGAACAAAGATAAACCTCCAAGTGGCCTCAACGACCCTCTAAAAGGATGCAAATGATGAGCTGTCCGCAAGGAATATAAATCCTTCCATTCCCCACCATCCAGTCAGAGTTGAAGAAGCTCCTTGGATGAGAAGCGAAACGTCTTCCAAAGAAAAAAAACAAGAAAGTCCAGTTGCCTCTGGAGCAACTTTTAACAACTCACCATGGGACAATTCAACGAATACAAAAGTTAAAATTAATTTTGATGGAACCATGGCCGATAATAATAAAAGCCAATCCCGAAATACAAGACTTACAATAATTTCAATGAAAAACGTGGTCACCAATAATAAAAGGAACTGAATGAAATGATTAATTCAGCGTTGAATTGTCCCACGGCATGTTGACTGTGGTGACTTGGCTTTGGTGACTTATCCTAGACACACACACCCCGGTCTTTGGATCGTTGTAAAATCGTACAAGAGATCCTTGTGTCAACTCATAAAATATTTCTTTTTCGAGTTGCCAACAGAAAGGGAGGGGGAAGCAGTGGGCAGCTTGCATTCCATAAATGTTTTCAAATATAGTTTATAGGTGATGGAAAATTCTGTGCAAAATTCTAACTGGAGAGCATGATTGATCACTCTGGGCTATGGATGTGTCCCATTGGAGAATATGAATTACGATACACCCAGAGGAGTGGGGGGAAAACCAGGGTCAAGGGTGACAATGAATGATGTGTCTCAGAGTCGGCTACACCCAGGCAGTGCCGGCATGTTTACTCCTAATAAATCTTCTTTAAGTTTTGGAAGTTCGGCTCAAGACTCATGGTTTAAATGGGGGTCACTGCCGGAGCTCTGGCACCGTGCTCTTACAGAACCAATAGGCACCCAAAAATTGTGCAAGCATATTTGCGCTATTTTGTGAGGCCCAGGAGGCTCCACAAGAGAAGGGTAATCTCACGTGACTTCCAGAGGGGAGAGATTCAGAAAAGCTTGGAGTGACACACTAGCAGAGTTAAGATAGGCATTTTCTTAACTGGTGACCCGCCAAGCCTCCAAGGTTGGCCATCATTGCATTGAAGGTTAGCTCTGATTGACTACAATTGCACAATAGGATGAAGTTTCCCCACGGTCAGAATTAATGTTTGACCTTGAGACGGATTTGAACAAGGCAGACTCTTGTTCACATTCTGGAACCGCTTCCATCGATCGTAGAACACAATTCATAACCTCTGGTCTGGTGATTTCACCTCTCGGTGCACCAGCTTGGAATATGCTGGAAGGAGTCATGAAGTGGAAGAGGTCTTGGTAAGGCATTCACTTCCACCCTATCCAATGTCCTCCCCTTCCTGGAAAGGATTTTATTAAAATTGAAAGGATGTAAAAATACAGGTGAAAATGGAGATGGTCGGAAAACAAGGAAGAGAGAAGGGGGGTATAGGTGCAGGAGAAAAGGAAAAGGGGGAAAAAAATCAACTTCCATTTTTTTTTTCCAGTGCAGTAAAGTACAAAATACGATTGCAACCTCCACTTTTTACTTTACCAACCAGTCATTTCTATAGCAAACTATATTAATCAATAAAACCCGGCATCCAAGGGTTTTTCGGGGTGTTTTTTTTTCCTGTCCCAAGCACAAAGTCCAGAAACAGTTTCCATGCAAAAGTTGGATATACCAAATGTTATTTTCTGACCTATTGGAAGATGTGGGAGTCAAACCCACAGATTCTCTGGAGGTCCCAGATTGGGAAAGGTTGGGCCACATTACACCTACCTGGGTCCTCCTGCCTGCACAGGGGGTTGGGCTAGAAGACCTCCAAAGTCCCACCTGACTCTTCTGTTATTAGCGGTTGAGCGCTCAACTGTGCTCTGTTTTTTCTTTAAGCAGCTGACTTTGGCTTTGCCCGTTATCTCCAGAGCAACATGATGGCGGCTACTCTCTGCGGTTCCCCAATGTATATGGTGAGTGAAGACTCTTGGTTTTCTTTGGCTGTAGGTGCAGCTTTGCAGCTAGTATTTAAGGTTAGAGCAGCTTCGGCTGCGCATAGGTCCTTGGTAATCTTCACTCACTTCTGCGCAATGGCTCTAGATTGGGCGCAGAGAACCGAAGACGAAATCCAGGGGGCTTATGCAAAAACCAGCTAGAAATCTCATAGCAAAGATGAGACTTGAAGTTAAATGGTTCAAAATCCAGGGTTTTATCTAAGTCTCTCTTTTATTGGGCACATTTATTATTTTGTTTTTATTGTTTTTATTTTTAGCCCCCCCCTTTTATTACTTTGTAAGTAACTCAAGCTAGTGAACATGCCTAATATTCTTTCCTCCTCCTATTTTCCCCACAACGACCCTGTAAGGTGAGTTGTGTTAAGAGAGAGGGACTGGCCAACGTCACCCAGCTGGCTTTCATACCTAAGGCAGAACTAGAATTCACCGTCTCCTGGTGACAGGCCACAAGTCGCCCAGCTGGGTGTTTCATGCATATGGCGGGACTAGAACTCACCGCCTCCTGGCGATGGGCCAAAAGTCACCCAGTTGACTTTCATGGCTAAGGTGAGACTAGAACTCACCGTCTCCCGGTGACGGGCCAAAAATTACCCAGCCAGCTTTCACGTCTAAGGCAGGACTAGAACTCACTGCCTTCTGGTGATGGGCCAAAAGCCACCCAGCTGACTTCCGGTTTGAAGGGCTTTGGCGACAGACAGAAATCCGCGATCGTGCGCGGTTTCTGTCTGGGCTCGCCGCTGGAGCGCCCCAAGCCAGCTGGTTTTGGGGCTAAGCCACCCCATAGAGGTGGTGAAGAGGGGGGAAGACTGCCAGCAGGGTCGAGGAGAGCCGCATCTCTCCTCCTCAGCTGGCCATTACTCCCTTTCCCGAAGGCGGTTGTAGCCATGGTCAGAAATGGCCACCACAAAGAAGAACTCAACCGGAAAAGAATGTGCAGGAGGAAGATAAGAAGTGAAAGTTTTGGCTGACCGTGTTAAATTGTAAAAGCAACAACTAAGAATGTACCAAGCAGAATCCGAATGGAAGTTATGTATTATATTGAATGTTACAACTTTAGGGAAAAGATATAAAGGTGTCATACTCCAATCAGTAACTACAGGAGAAATTTTGTTTAATGAGAAAAGATAATAGATAATTGAAACAGGACAGGCAAAAAATATAAATACAATGATTTGAATTGAGATGAGATAATTAAAATAAAATTGAGAAAATTAAAAGATGGGAGAAGCTTTGCAGAAAATGTAAAATAGTAATAAGATACGGAATAAAATATAAAAATGAGCATGAACCTGAATTTGTGTCTGTACGAAGAAATGTAACCCGGGATTATGCTGCTTTCAAAAAAGATGTTTTATTTGTATTTTTTTTTTCTCTTTGTGAAAACTCAGATAAAATTTACAAAAAAAAAAAAAGCCACCCAGCTGACTTTCATGGCTAAGGTGAGACTAGAACTCACCTTCTTTTGGTGATTGGCCCAAAGTCCCTCAGCTGGCTTTCATACCTAAGGCAGAACTAGAACTCACTGTCTCCTTATTTTGTAGCCTGGTACCTTAACCACTAAACCAAACTGGCTCATTTATGTCACTGTTAGCCAGATTACTAACTCGGTTTCTAAGTTGGCCCAATGCATAGAACCATAAATTTAACAAACACATAAATTTAATTTAAACAATAAATTTAACAAACACTGAAGTGTTCGCTAAGCTTTTTGATATTGTACAAATGCACCTGAATACATTAAGGACCTTGTGTGAACACAACGAAATGAACCAGTCTTGTTTAAAAAGACAGCCTTTTTTAAAAAAAATAATAATAATCTGGAAGCGGCTTTTGAAAATGCCCAGAAGTACACCAAATATTTTAAGGAAACTTGCAAAAAGCTTTGGAGCGAACCCCAATGACCAGACTCAAGCTCCGTGCAGTACATTAAAAGAGAGAATTTCATCATCAACAGAAAGGAATGTTTTAAGCCTTGCTGAAAATTTGGCATGAGAAAACGGCCCCTTTGATATAAAGCCAGCAAAGAAGGGGGAAAAAACTTCCCACTTTTTTTGCAACCCTTGGAGAATGGGAGAAAAAGGGAGGGGCGATAAGGGCTGGTTCCTTCTAACCCCATCTGAGTGGAAGCTGGGAAGGAGTGGGTGAGAAGGAAGGAGGGGGATGCAAATTGGGTTGTTTTGCTAAGATTGTGGGAAGTGTAATATTTCCCTCCCTGCTATGCATTAGCTTACACACCTGTCCCCTCAGTGCTGTTCTCTCCCACAGCTGCCCCCTCCCTCCTGCCACTCAATCTCCTTTTTATTTCCTAGGCACCAGAAGTGATCATGTCCCAGCATTATGATGGTAAAGCCGACCTGTGGAGTATAGGCACCGTCATCTACCAGTGTCTGGTTGGGAAGCCACCCTTTCAGGTGAGCGCAGAGCATAAAAACACTAAAGGAGAACAGGTGGCTCAGGATTGAAATGTGGGGGTCCTTGAGGCTCTCTGAGCTGGGTGGTTTTCTTGCAGACGTTTCCTGACCCAGCTAGATAACATCATCAGTGCTAGAAGGGAATGAGATTTCCGCTCTTTTCATATATACCAACGGTTTGTTCTGCTAGTGTTGGTGAGGTTCCTTGGTGGCTCATTGGTTAGTTCCTTGGTTATGGGTGGGTGAATGAATGAAGGTTGGTTGGTCGGTTGTTAATGCTCTCTGAACTTGGTAGGTTGCTAGCAGACATTTCATAACCTAACTAGGTAACATCAGTGCTAGAAGGGAGTGGAGTTTGCTCTCTTTTCATATATACTAATGGTTTGCTCTGTCAGTATTGATGGGGTATCCTTGGTGGTTCCTTGGTTAGACTGTCATGGATGGATGGTTGGTTCTTGGTGCTCTCTGAGCTCGGTGGTTTTCTAGTAGACATTTCACGACCCAGCTACGTTACATTATCAGAGCTAAACGGGAGTGGTGTTTTTTCTCTTTTCATTTATACTCGTGGTTTGCACTGACAGTGTTGGTGAGGTGTCCTCAGTGTTTCCTTGATTTAAGACTGTTGTGGATGGATGGTTGGTGGGTTCTTTGTGTTTTCTGAGCTTGGCTGTTTTGTTGCAGGCGTTTCATGACGCAGCTAAGTAATATCATCCGTGCTAGAAGGGAGTGGGGTTTGCTCTCTGTTGATGCACAAGTGACTTGCCCTGACATGGACTTCCATTTGCTGCTCCCTTGATTCCAGGACACTGCTAATCATCCTCATAAACTTTCTAAAATAAATATTGGGGTTGGTTTTATGCTTTTAGTTGTGCTGTCTAGACCCGTCCTCCATAGAGATCCATGAATGAAACAAAGCCATAATACAATAAAAACCTCATTTGGACATAGGGCGAAGCCAACCTCAAATCACCCTAAAATTAACTTAATCTAAATCAATCTCATTTTTTTTTATAGGCGAATAGTCCTCAGGATCTGCGAATGTTTTACGAGAAGAACAGAAACCTCATCCCGAGGTAAGCTTGGCGCTCCCTTAAATTGTGGCATCCAATTTCGGTGCCTTTGTTTGTCCTGGCCTCACCCCCCAGCCTAGGCCCTTCAAGTAGCCACAGGATGGCACGATATTGCAGCCCATTGGGATGGCTTTGAACCTCCAGAGACCATAAATCGTCTGCCCTTTTTTATTTTTTGTTTTTGACTTTTGCTTTTTAGCATCCCCAGGGAAACCTCAGCCTACTTGTCCGATTTGCTTCTGAACTTGCTTCAGAGAAACCAGAAAGACAGAATGGACTTCGGTGAGTGAAAGATCCGGGATGCTTTTAAAAAGGTCTCCTTTTTATTTTTTATTTTTTATTTTCCCAGTAGGGAAAACGAACTGATCGGTGGTGGGATTCAATTTTTTTTACTACCGGTTCTGTGGGTGTGGCTTGGTGGGCGTGGCAGGGGAAGGTTACTGCAAAATCCCCATTCCCTCCCCACTCCAGGGGAAGGATATCTATATTGACTGTTTCCTAGTATTATTTGATTGCATATTGTACCCTATGACTATTATTAAGTATTGTACCTTATGATTCTTCACTCTTGACAAATGTATTTTTTCTTCTATGTACACTGAGAGCATTTGCACCAACCACACTTGGCCTATAAAGAATTCTATTCTATTCTATTCTATTCTATTCTGTCCTGTCCTATCCTGTCCTATCCTGTCCTATTTCATTCCATATCGCAAAATCCCTATTCCCTCCCCACCCCACTAACCTGCTTTCCAGCTCCGTCCTCCTATGCAGGGCAACCAAAGGAGACCCAGCCGATCAGCTGGGACTCAGGAGGCAGAGAAGAGATGGAGGCAGGGCCAGTCAGAGGTGGGATTGGCTGGTTCTCCATACTACTCAAAATTTCCGCTACTGGTTCTCCAGAACTGGCTGAATACCACTTCTGGAACTGATCCCCATGTCCGATCCGGTTTGCAATCGCAGCAGTGATCCGTTCAAATGAGCCGGGGCCGTGACTTTTACGAGAAGCTCAAATTGATTGATTGTTGTTTGCAGGGAAGGTCAAGTTGAGCTGGCCAGCGCTTGAGACAGCATTTCCTGTCTCATTTGTTGGGGTTATTGTTTCCTGCCTTTTCCTCCAGGAGATCAGGGACATTTGTAGAAATCCCTTCTCGTATTTCCCCCTAAAACAAGGGTCCACAGCCCGGCGTCAGGCCGGTGCCTGTTTGGAACCGGGCCACGGAAGTGGCAAGCAATTTGCACATGAAGGCACAGGAGAAGCTGCGTTTGTGAAAGCTACGGGTGAAACCATCTCCGCTCAGCCCTGCCGCTGTCTTCTGGGCTGCCAAGCCAGAAAAAAGACTGTTGCCATAAACCAGGGGTCTCCAAACTTGGCAACTTTTTTAAGACTTGTGGACTTCAACTCCCAGGATTCCTGGCTGAGGAATTCTGGGAGTTGAAGTCCACAAGCCTTAAAAGTTGCCAAGTTTGGAGACCTCTGCCCTACTTTGTGAAGTAGGTTGGGACTGAGACAGACTGGCCCAAAAAGACACTCGGGGTGTTCCCGCAAACTAAAAATGGACCTGGGTCTGGACAATTGTCTATTCAACATTGTGGAACTGCCTTGTGTGTATATAGTGAGCCTCGGTGGCGTAGTGGTTCGAGTGAAGGCTTCTTCTGCTGACTGTCTATAGCCGTGATGGCGAACCTATGGCACGTGTGCCAGAGGTGGCATGCAGAGCCCTCTGTGGGCATACACGCCGTCACCAGCTGCTCTTCTGGTTAGGGTTAGGGTTAGGGTTAGCCAACCAGCTGGTCTTAGAGCACTGGAAAATGGCACAAAAAGTGGCCAAAAAATAGGCCAGTTTGTGGGCCTTTTTCAGGCCATTTTTTAGGTTGTTTTCTGGCCGTTTTGTGGACTGTTTTCCAGCTGTTTTCTGGGCCGTTTTCCAGCCAAAATGGCCCCAAACCAGCCTGAAAATAGGCTGAAAACAGCCCCAACGTGGCCTGAAAACAGCCCCCAAAAGGCCAAAAAACATGTACGTGCACACCGGCCAGCTGGTCTTCAGGTTTCTGGTGCTCTGGCACACGCGCATGTATGCACGCACATTCCGGTTTCGGCACTTGGTGCCGGAAAGGTTTGCCATCACTGGTCTATAGCGTCGTTTTGAGGGAAGGAGTTAAAACAGTTTATGTCCGGGATGCGAGGAGTCTGTAGATAGTTTCACAGGCCTTTTTTTGACTCAGGGTGCAGCATACAGACAGGTCCTCCATGGAAGGCAGGTTAGCAGAAGCTTCTTGGATCGGAAGCGAAACGTCTTCAAGAAAAACCAGAAAGCCCAGTGGCCTCTAGGGGGGCAAAAAAAGGCCTTTTGGGACAACCATGACCTGGATGACGGAGAATCCCCATAGACAAGGTGCAGTTCTGACTGCGCACCTGTTGCAGGAGACAAATTTAGCCCCTGTCCCACAACCTCTGAAAGGACCAGTGTCTCTTCTTGGCTCATGGGAGGCTGTCCTTTGACGCAGCCGGCTGTTGCTTGAGGGACTTGCAGACAGATGCCCGTTCAGGGTTTGAAGGACCTTTCTGGAATTGGATCTAAAGCTCTGCAGGGTCATTGCATCCCCAAGGCTTGGCTGGTGTTTCACAGCCCCTTCTGCCTACCCCAGACATAACGCCCAAGGGGGTTATGACAGCTGCCTCCCAAGTAGGACAATGGGAAGGGAGCCAGCTCGTAGCGTTAAGCCTTCCCCAAGCCGCCATCTCCCAGTGCCAGCTCAGAACCAAACCAGCCAACCCTTTTTTATTCTGGATCGACAAACCGGAATTAAAAATGGAATGCTCTGAAATGAATCAGAACAGAATAATGGCCGTTAGCGGCAAAATCATCTGTTTCATTTGGCCACACACATGGCCACACTTGGAATACAGCATTCAGTTTTGGTCGCCACGATGTAAAAAAGATGTTGAGATTCGAGAAAGAGTGCAGAGAAGAGCTGCAAAGAGGATGGAATAGAATAAAGAAGAGAATAGAGTAGAATAGAATTCAGAATAGAATTAAGATTAGAAGTACAGTAGAGTAGAATAGAATAGAATTAAGAATAGAATTAAGAATAGGAGTAGAGTAGAATAGAATAGAATAGAATAGAATAGAATAGAATAGAATAGAATAGAATAGAATAGAATAAAGAATAGAATAGAAGAATAGAATAGAATTAAGAATTGAAATAGAATAGAATTTAAGAATAGAAGTACAGTAGAGTAGAATAGAATAGAATAGAATAGAATTAAGAATAGAATTAAGAATAGAATAGAATTAAGAATATAAGTAGAGTAGAGTAGAATAGAATAGAATAAAGAGTAGAATAGAAGAATAGAATAGAATAGAATTAGGAATTGAAGTAGAATAGAATAGAATTAAGAATAGAAATAGAGTAGAGTAGAATAGAATTAAGAATAGAATAGAATTAAGAATAGAATAGAATTTATTGAAATGAAGAATAGAGTTCTTTATTGACCAATTGTGATTGGACACACAAGGAATTTGTCTTGGTGCAAATGCTCTCAGTGTACATAAAAGAAAAGATACAAGAAGTCAAGACTCATAAGGTACAACACTTAATATTAGTCATAGGGTACAATAAATAATCAAATCATACTAGGAAACAGTCAGTATAAATTGTTAGGATACAAGCAACAAGGTTGCAGTCATACAGTCACAAGTGGGAGGGGATGGGCGATAGGAACGGTGAGAAGATTAATAGTAATAGTAGTGTTGACTTAGGGGACTGGAGGCTAAAACATATGAAGAACGGTTGCAGGAACTGGGTATGTCTAAATTTAATGAAGAGAAGGACTAGAGGGTGACAGGATAGCAGTTTTCCAATATCTGAGGGGCTGCCCCAAAGAAGAGGGAGTCAAGCTATTCTCCAAAGCACCTGAAGGCCAAGAAGCAATGGATGGAAACTAATCAAGGAAAGAAGGCAACCTGGAACTAAGGAGAAATTTCCTGACAGAACAATTAAACGACTTGCCTCCAGAAGTTGTGAGTGCTCCGTCACTGGAGGTTTTTAAAAAAAGGTTGGATCACTATTTGTCTGAAGTGGTGTAGGGTTTCCTGCCTAGGCAGGGGGTTGGACTAGAAGACCTCCAAGGTCCCTTCCAACTCTGTTATTCTATTCTATTCTATAGACTCAGTTCAGGGAATCCTCCACCACAATTGCGCCCCACTTTTCCGTTGTTAGGCGAGATCGTTGTTAGGTGAATTTGGCCACCCTTTGATGAACTTCCTTGCCACAACGGTTAAGTGAATCCGCTGCAGTTGTTAAGTTAGTAACATGGTTGCTAAGTGAATCTTGCTTCCCTCTTTGATTTTGCTTGGCGATCGGATGTCACCTTTCCCACAAGTTGAACCTCTGGATAGAAACGATCCTTGACTCCATTTGTTGAGAAAGGCATAGCTTCTTAGAAGTAGAATAGAATAGCAATAGCGCTTAGACTCATATACTGCTTCGCAGGGCTTCCCAGCCCTCTCTAAGCAGTTTACAGAGTCCCCATATTGCCCTCAACAATCTGGGTCCTCATTTTACCCCCCCTCAGAAGGATGGAAGGTTAAGTCAACCTTGAGCCTGGTGAGATTTGAACTGCCAACTTGCAGGCAACCAGCAGTCAGCAGAAATAACCTGCAGTACTACACTCTAACCACTGCGCCACCATAGCGAGTAGAGTAGAACTGAACAAAATAGAACAGAGAAGAGAACAGAATAGAATAGAATCAATCAGAATGGAGCTGGAAGGGACCTTGGAGGTCTTCTAGTCTAACCCCCTTCTCAGGCAGGAAACCCTATATCATTTCAGACAAATGGTTGTCCAGTCTCTTCTTAAAAAATCTCCCAGTGTTGGAGCATTTACAACTTCTGGAGGCAAGTGGTCCCACTGATGAATTGTTCTCACTGTCAGGAAATTCCTCCTTAGTTCCAGGTTGCTTCTGTCCTGGATGAGTTTCCACCCGTTGCTTCTTGTCCTGCCCTCAGGGCTTTGGAGAATAGCTTGACTGCCTCTTCTTTGGGGCAGCCCCTCAGATATTGGAACACTGCTATCATGTCATCCCTGGTCCTTCTCTTTGTTAGACTAGACATACCCAATTCCAACCACCATTCTTTATTTGTTTCAGCTTCCTTGTCATATTTATATAGTGAAAATTGGAGGCGGTGACCCTTTAAGAGCTGTATGCAACGAAATTTGATTTTTAATGTATGCCATTTAGTGTACATTTCAAAGTGACAAAGTTATTCTATTCTAT